TATATAATTATATTTATTCTATTTAAAATGTTAATTTTGATATATTAAAAACTTTAATTATATACTAATTAAATAATATAATTATTTTAGTTGTATTGTCTTTTATTTTTTTTTTTAAACTATATTTGGACCACTGTTGATCTAGATAATATATTCGGATCAACAATGGTTTGAATAGGTTGCCTAAAATCTAAAAACTTCCCCTCTCAAACTTTTTGTTGATAACCACACTTAACTTAAAGAATGTTTTTTTTTCAAATAATGAAAACAACATTAAGTGTGAAATATATAAGAAAAAGAGTCGTTACTCGTTCAAATTATAAGGTGAAATAAGGCACCTAAAATGGATCTATGTAGAGATCAGGGTTCGAAAGTTCGGTTAGGAGTGAAGAAGGGTATACGCACACCTCACAATCTTTCGTTTAAACATGATTGCATACTTTAACATTGGGGTTTTTAATTCAACTTATTCATTATATTTATATTTAAGTCTTAATAGGTAAACTTAAAGAAAGATAAATCAAATTGAAACATTTTTAAAATTTTTGGACTAAAATGGACAAAATCAAAGGCATGCATGTATCATAAGCACAAATAAAATTTCAAAGGACTAATTTGATTAAATTCGAAACACAGAGGACTGATTTGATTAAATTAAAAAACATGAAAGACTGATTGAAAAAGTATGAAACCTTGGGACTGAATTGCTTAATTACAAAAGTTCTGGGTAAAATTTGAAAAAAAAAAGATAATTTCGACTTTGTCCAAAATTAAAAGAAAATTAATGATTTAAGTTAATTAATTATGCTCATTAATCTAATTAAATGATTAATTTAACATTAATTAAAATTAATTAAAATTAATTAATTATATTTATTAACCTTTAATTAAAATTATTAAATAAATCTAATAATCTCAAATTAGGATCAATAAATATGATTAATTTATTTTAATTAAAATTAATTAACTTCATTAATCATAAGTTAAACTGATTAACCTAATTAATTACTAATCATACTTAATATATATTTTTGTTTTAACTTTTATTTTTAGTTTTATTTTTTAACTGAATCGAGTGAATTGATCCGACCCAAAAACACAATTCATCAACTCAAAACGAGCAAAACAGATCAAACGCCGAACAGGGGCTAGAAGGCATTATACAGCTATCAATGCAATCTTAGCAGTAGGATTTTCTTGAAAATTGTAGTTATACATTGATTGTAGCAGCAGTTGTTGCGTAAGTGTACAGAATAGTTTTATTGGATAAATAATATTTTTACATTTTATCTGAAAAAAAAAAATAACTTTTTTATTTTTTTCAAATCCCTTTTTCAACCGAATTAAAGTTGAAATTTGAGATCTTTAACTTAAAATATGAAGTTTTTAACCAGTTGAGCCATCAATTGGGGGTTATGTGCTCTATGTAGTTTGCTTGTATTAGATTTGGTTAAGTATTTATTAATTATAAATTTTTGGTTGTGTTCTTTCATTCATTCATGGGTTTGAATAGTGAGGCTATAGTGTCCTATTATCATACTTGAATGAATGATAGTGTATATTACTATCATACTTAAATGAATGAAATGAATATTACATATCAAGTAATTGACTGACTAAAAATTATACATAGAAAGGACCAGATCAGCCATACTAGTCCTTAATTATCTGGAGATGGCTTTTCAGTATGGTAGCCGTGCACGTTGGTTTGGAATAGAGCAATGCTGCCAATGCAACAGGGATTGATCGGTCCTCAAGACGATGGGTCCTTGTAACCTCGTTATATATTATTTTTAAAATTTGATAAATTTTAGTTTTATTTTTATGTCCATAAATAATTTTAAATTGTTAAACATTAAGATTTTGTTCGAAAATGTTATAATGTAACTGTTTTGTAGCTCTTTTATATTTGTTATTAAAAAATATATTTAATATTTATTTTAATTAACAAAATAATATTTTTTATTGACTTGCAAAAAAAGAAGAATACTCATATATTTAATATTTAATATTAATTTTAATAATAAGTTAATATCAATTTGTATTATTTTTAATACTAATTAATGTCAAAATTTTTATATTAGTAAGTTAAGAAAACATCAAATACATATTATAATAAATATAGAGTAAAATGGATCACAAGTAATTATTTTTATTATCAAATAATGTGTTGTTATATGATAAAAATAATTCTTCAATTACTTTAATTTCTTTCTACTTACTTTAAAATTAAAATTCAAAATTTTTAATTTAAAATATTAAACTCTTAATTATTTAAAACACTTTTTAATCACATAAAATACATATAATAATTTTCTTTATTTCGATGTTTTCGGAATTACAAGCTAAACTATCTTTATCTAACTGACTACAAAATTGAGATTACATTTATGGTTCAAACACGTACTTCATTTCCAAAAATATAGAGTACCGCACGCGATGATGTGGGCCAGTTTATGGCTAGGTATCTATCAAGTTAAAGTGATATAATTTTATTTAATTTAATATTAAAAATTATCTAACATAAAAAATAGTAAAAATTAACTTATAATTGCAATGATTAGTTAATTAATAATTAAATAAATAATATATTACTTAATAAATTGAAATTATAATATAAATTAATATTTTTAAATATTATAATTAATTATTTTAAAAAAAAATTTAATTTTATCGATTATAATAATATAATAAATAGTCATAATCCTTTCCCACAATATGTGGTGCGGAATTAATTGACGAGGTAAGGATTAAGAACGCATTGGTTGGTGTGAAGTGATCATGACAGATGTTGTTTTGTTAGGATTATATAATTTATTGTTATTTTATTTATTTATAAGTTTTAAAATATTTATTATTATATTTAAAAATATTTATTTATAAATTAATTTTAATGTATTAAATAATAAATATGAATTATTTTATTAATTATTAATGATTTTAACAATTAAATCAAAATTAAAATTTAAGAATAATATACCTTTGACAACATTCAGTGTCGTAATAACTATAGCTGTCGTCCCGCAATCGATGGTTAAATGATCACCCCTTGCAACGGATGTACGTAGGATTACAAGGATTTGGGATCAAATTCCAAATGTTCCATTTCCCTTTTTCCCAAGAAAGAAAAGATTTTACACTGTTTAAAAAAAAATAATAACTATAGCTGTC